CCCAGCAGCAACATCTTGGATCTTAGGATTCACAAGACTTATAATAAACACTCATGCAATAACTGACATGGGGTGTTGCCTTACTAAACAACACTCCCAAGTACTTAACAACAAGTGCAACAACAATTTCCAACATGGGTGTGTGAATAACTCATCAATCCACTCCAACTTATAATAAACACTCATACAAATCAATGGTGTGTGAATAACTCATGAATCCACTCCAACTTATAATAAACACGCACGCAATAACTAACATGGGGTGTTGCCTTACTAAATAACACTCCCAAGTACTTAACAACAAGTGCAACAACAATTTATTTAGTGACATCTTGAGGGGTCTGGAACAAGCCCATGATGGGCAGGTGGAACAAACAAGAAACATTATCCAGTGTAATGCTTATCTCACGTAATGGCATGTGAAATAACAATGTATCTGGATGCTATATATCTATAAATGTTGGTACTAAGTTTGTGTCTATCCTCGTCAAACAGGTTCTCTTGAGTGAAGATAGACCACACTAAGTCATCCACCTCTTCATCTATGGTGGGAGACAAGGGGGAGCCATTCATGTAAGGTTGGTTCCATGTGTAGCAACCTTTAGTTCTTTCTTCGGGCCTCTCACATGAAAACAATTAAAAATATATATTATAAAACAAAAAATTTAAAATTTAAAATTATTCAAAATAAAGTAACTGTCATTTACTTATCTTAGTGAACCATAAATGACGAGCAACATAACGCTCACACTTTACCAGAAGAGACATATCACACGACCCTTCTGAAAACCTTATAAGATGTGGAGCAGATGCATATCCACTAATATGCTCATCCTCACCAACTAATGACTCTTGATAGCCCTGACCTACACCAACATGTCTTGGAATCTGACTATCATATTCTCGTATTTACGCCACTAAAAAAACACATTAAACTGAATATCTTTCTTAAAGATTTTTGGTAGCTAAAAAATCGCTCCTCCCGAAATACTTGCCTAAAAATATCTAATGTTGTTTTCCTACTAGCCAAATAACTTAAAAAAGAGTTCTGGTAGAAAATACTTTCTCAAACAATTTCAGTATGTTTTAGAAGCTAACCCACTTAGTCAATGATTTCCGATTTAAGTTTTATAGATGGTGTTGTACCCCAAAATTTGCCCTCTCATTTTTATCAAGACATTCTTTTAAGGCTCCTCAAAAACTCAAGACACTCAAGGGTTGACCAGTCAGATGCTCCTCCTAAGCCCAAAGAGCCTACAATTAGGGTTTTGAGTTTTCCAAGGAAGTTTTGGTTGCAAAGGTCTCAAGTGGCTTCCGTGGTTATTCATAGGTCCTCAACAAGGTTCATGTTAAGTTTCAAGTCCTACATCACAAGTTTGCTCAATCAATGGCTTAAATGTTTGAAAATTAATTGTATTGGTAAAAAATTCAACTGTGGTCAATATATAGTCAAACTTCAAGATTTTTGGTTAACATCAAAATTTTGAAGTGATATTCATCATTTGATCAAGGGCTGATCATGATTCCTCAAGGAAAGCCCTCGGATCATCAAAAGTCAAGAATTGCCAAATTAAGGTTTCCTTAGGAGAAGTCAACTGAACTTTGACCAGACATAACTTTAACATGCTTCATCAACTTTCCCCCAACCAAATACCATTTTGAATAAAATTCAATTCTCTACAACTTTTCTTTTATTACCAAGTCCAAAAATTGCTTCATTTGGAAGATATGATCTAGTACATTATAGGTTATTTTCAAAAGTCAACAAAAGACACTTTTTGTCAAGGCAAATTACATCAAGATAATGTATCCAAATACAAAAATGATTAAAAAAAAAAAGAAAGTGTAGAGGAAATCTTGAGATTTTCAAAAAGTTCAATATCATCTTCAAAGAATGAAAATTGAGCAATTTATGAGGTGCACAAGTTGGGCAAATTTCAAGAAATGCATGAAATCTCAATTAAAACAATTTGTGATTTTAGGTTATTGGGCCTAACTTTTTAGAGTTCAAATATACTCATGACATATTCAAGAGCCTCTAATCCTATCCATGCATTATTTTTATTTTTATTTCTATTTATTTGAATTTTTATTCATTTAAATACAAAAGAAATCAAGTGAAATATCAAGTAAATGGATTAATGCTTAAGTGGAATTCATTTGAATCATTCAAGGGCCTAATAATTCGTGCAAGATACACACAAATGATCCAGGTTCATTGCAAGTTCAAAAGGGCAAGAATCACTCAAAAATGACAACTTCTTAATGTGTTGGATTTTTGTCTCATGGCCATGAATGAGTTGTTTCCTTGTCATATTTATTTGTTTCCTTCCATTCTTCTATTTAAGCACAACAATGCAAGCTCAAAAGGGACGAAAATCTTTGCATACAAGAGCCCTCTCAAAATTCTCAAAAATCAAAGAAAAGTTGCAAAATCTGTAACTTCACTTCTAGGCGCTATCAATCCAAACCAAGACCATCATCAATACACTCCTGAGACCTCCAGGAGTCATATCCAGTCCTCACATAGGCCTTAAGCACGCCAAAACCTCTCCTCCCATTCACGCTGGTTGTTAAGTGTGGTGAAGATTCGAAACTTTGATCTCAGGCATTATTAACCATTGCTGACATGATTAATCTGTCATATGCATCATTGGAATGTATTTGACATTTTACATGTGAGTCTTGTTGCAGAAATAAGAACGTGCCATTGTTAGGGCACAAAGCGTTTAAAGATTCAGATCTCTTGTTACAGGCGTCTTTAGGCCAAACTAATGGCACAACTGAGATTGCAGGATCCAAATACTGGATCTAGAGTTTTGCTTTTTTTTGTTTGATTGATTTTGCAGGTTTTGGAGAAAACCCCCCATCAGAGAGGATGGTGTTTACCACCCTCCATGGTGGTTTGAAAAACGCATAGGAGGTCAACGCATGCATGGCAGAACAAAATGTCATGATTGGCCCATTGCTTTTTTTTTATTATTTGATTTGCATAACTAATATTTTCCTTTTTAAAAAATAAATTTTATTTTAATAAACAAAAAATTAGAAATATCAGAAAATCACAAAAATATTAGATTTAAATTTTTATTAATTAAATTAATTTTGATTAATAATTTAATCACCAATTTTTAATTAATTAACTAATTAGAATTAGATTCTCGTAATTTAATTATATTTCCAAATTAAAAATAAAAAAAAAACATTTTTCCAATGCTTAGAACTCGTTTATGGTTTTTCATCTTTTCTCTTTTCTCCTTCGCACGTTTATTTGCTTTATTCGCATTATTTTTATGGATGATGTAATTGTACAAAGGGATGTAATAGTTTAAGCTAAGACTTTTTACGTTTTTTCTTTCCCCCATTTCTAGTTTGTATTCCCCCCATCCCGAAGCGATGTAATAACGTAGTTTAAATTTCTGCATTTTTATTTTTCTGCACTTGTATATATTTAACTGCTAGATGTATGCTTAATAGGATTGCATGACAAAACCTAAAAGCAAACACTAGAACACCTAATATCCAAGATAAATGTAACTGAAATACAACACATTTTGCACACGCGCACCTCTAAGGTACCTCCAGTTGTTGCCTTCGGAAAAATAGTCATGTCCCTCGAACATGGTGTTGCAACTGGTTTTTAAATCAGAGTCGCCACCCTTAATTTTTATCCTAACGGAAGGGAGTATAAAGGAATAATCCTAAAGTTCAGAGATTCTAGATTTGGACTCGGTTCTAGACGAGGGGAAGGTGTTAGGCACCCCTTATCTACCTTGTTCACAAGGATACTAGGTTTAGAAGTATTATTTTTAAGAATCAGGGTAATTATTATTAATAAGGGAAAAGGGTTTGAATTTTAGTTAGTGGGACTCGCAACGATTTTTGATCGTATGCCTACGTATCCTCCTTAGGAGGAATCAGAGTCTCATTTTCGTAGTTCGCGTTGTTGTTAGTATTTTTTATGGATTGCGAAATATATTTGAATTTCCAGCATACATGGTCTAAGAGTGTGAATAGTGGAATTTGTTAGCCCAAGTACGCGGTTAATTTAAATATATTCGCATTCCTTTTTAAAAATTAATTGTTTGAATTGATTTAATTTGCTAAAAAAAGATTTGCTAGTTGGTTGAATATTTTTTATACGTAGAGCGGGGGAGTCTAATATAGTCTCCTCGTATCACGTGGTCAGATATTGGCTATGTGTTACTCGATTTGAAGGATGCGGAGGAAGTCTGATATAGTCTTCCTCACCATGTGGCAAGATATTTTCCACGTGTCGCTTGCGGATGAAATATGCGGAATTGCATGGGTTTTAATATTTTGATGTAAAATATTAAATTAATTTAATTGTGAAAATTGTTTGATTTTTGAATAATAAACCGGTAGAGGGTGTGTCGACCGACTTAATTACTCGAAGATGGACATCCTACTATTCATAAGATGTTTGAATTAATTAAGCTACATATAAAAAAAATTAAACAGAAAAATAGAGGAGATGCTAAGTTAGAATGGAGGTGCATTAGTAGAATGGTAAAACTGAAGCCCAATGCCCATGTTATAATTAGGACCTTAATTCTAATTCTAATTGATTTCTATTTGTAATAACAATGTAAAAATAAATAAAATATCATGTACTGGTAATGGGGGAATTCCCCTCGGTTGATATTCCTGACGTTTCATTCAAACTTTTTTTTTGGTCAAATTAAAACACACAAGCTAATTATATGCCCACACATAGATCCCTATAATCAAATCAAAAGTGAGTCAAAGAGAGATATAACACAAATCCTAAAAGACAAATCTATTCATGGTCTCCCTCCTCTTCTATACCTCTCTTTCTTCTTCATGGATATGAGAACAAACACCATTTAAATAGAGTAAGTAAATTGAAAAAATAATTTTACCCAATAATTCTAGCGGCATAGTAATTGAAGGGTGGTTCGGCGGATCTGAGGGTGTGGTTCAGCAGATCTGAGAAAGTGGTTCGACGGAAGTTGCTTTCAGACGTTGAGTAGAGCGTTGGCTGGTTGTTCATGGTGTCGTGCAACGAGATCGGCCGGCGTTGCAATCGCGATGTGAGGAAGGCCGAAGCTGGTTGAACGGCAAGGTGGTCTGTACGCGTGAAGTCTGTAGAGATAGGGTGCGGCTGGAGCTTCAGTTGTCCGCGTCGTAGCTTCGAGGTGCTGTCGTGGAAGGTGATGAAGTCACCGACGAGAGTGGATCACAGAGAGATGGCCGATGTTGTGCGGCTGACTTTGTTTTGTTCTTCTCATATTTCTGCAAAAAAGAAAATAAACCTCTGTACCAATTTGTTAGCATCAAGTATTATGTTGTGTTGTACCCTTTAATGAAATTTGGTTAATGGTTTTGACAGGAGGAGCTTGTGAAAGTTAGATTACAGTATATGTTTATCTGGATTAGAATGGAAATGTTTGTTTTGGTTGAATTTAGAATGGTAATGATAATGGTTTGTGTTGGTATGGTTCTACTGTATAAAATAAGCGAGTGGTAGAAAAAGTGGGTTTTGAAATTGTTAGAAAAAATTACTAATATTATTTAAAAAGAGATAGAAAATCAGTAAAATTAAGTAATGTAAATTGCGAGGTAAAAAAAACTGGTTTAATGATGAAATTCCTTTTTCAACAGGAAGGTTAGTTTTCGATGATAAACTATTTAGGTTTGACCAAAAAAATAATAGACAAAATTAAGGGAATGCCATGTGAGTGTTAGTGAAAGTTTCGAAAGAAAAAGTTAGTACGAAAATATAATTTAAAATAAACCTAACCATCAAAATATCATCATGTGGTTAGAACAACAAACAAATTAAAATATGAAAAAGATAAAGAAAAAATTGAAATTATAAGGGAGAGGGCCTCATATGAAATCACCGGCCGTTAATAAAGAAACTGTCATTGTTGTTTGATATAGACAACAATTGTATAATAAACTAAGAACAAGAATTATAAAAATTTGAAAGAAAAAAGCAAGTTTTTTGTGGATGAATTGTAAAATTTCTAGGTGATTTAGAAGTGAAAAACATGTCCTATTTATAGATTAAAAAAAATCATCCAAATTGGAAATAAAACAAACTTGACCAATAAAAAATAAGGTGTGACACAAATTGACATCCAATGGCCAATAAGAAACACCTATTTAAAAAGGAAAGAAAATTAGTGACAAAAAAATAGAGAAAAGAAAAGAAAATATTGAAAGTGCGGCACAAGAGATTCGAACCCGCGACCTTATATTTGTAAGCTTCATCCTTTACCAATTGTGCTATGTTACTCATTTATAAATAACTCAATTGAAAGTATATGAAATGTATGGGAATATTTATTTATTCAAAAATACAAATGATTTGAAATAAATCATTATATTTTTAAACAGGTTTGGAAGTGAATATTTTATAAAAATAAAATAAAATTTTAAAATCAATAATTAAAATAATTTTTACTGTTGAAATAAAGGGTGGGAAATTTTGGGGTATGACACATGGGGACGCTTTAGCAAAGTCCCTCAAATACAAAAAGACCATAGTCCCTCGATGACCCTCCAATGCCGGCTTCGGTAAACGATCTAGTCTCTTACAATAAAATTGCTAAAATGCCATATGAGTTGCCTCTATGACTGTACAATGACACACGCTAATCCCTCAAACATCCAACGATAGGATACCTACTGACTAATAGTAGGATAGCACTGTCTAAAGGAAAAGAGGAAAATAACAAAGACCGTTCGAGTAGGTAGACCGCTTATAGTTGCTTTCTAAAATAAAAAACAATTTTTCACACATACACAAACTCTTTTCTAAATATTTTCAAAGACAAAAACACTTTGTAAGCTATGATACGGTGGCAGAACCGTCTGTTTAATACTGGTTTGCGTTTGTATTCGCAAATGTTGTGGTAAGCAAGAATCGCCACCGAATTTTATTTCATCCAACAAAGGAAAAGGGAAAAGAACAGAAAAAACCTTTTTCGAGATGTTTCTGAGTACGGGGGTAGATTATAGAAAGGGAAGGTGTTAGCACCATTTCTATCTGTGGTTTTCCACGAGCTCTTAGGTACTTGATCATTTTTGAAATTTGCTTGTGCGTGCTTGTTTTGAAATTTTTTTAGTTCGTGATAACCCTTGTATCAGTCCTCAAGAGTGTGACAAAGTTGTTTTAAAAATTGTTTTGAAAAGTGTTTGTGTGACAGTTTTTGTTGAGCAAGTACCTAGGAACATATCTGCCTACTCGAAAAAAGACCGTGCATTCTCATTTCCTTTAGACAGTGCTATCCTACTATTAAGGAGTAGGTATCCCCATCGTTGGAGTCTTAAGGGACATTCGAAGGGACGAAATCGTCACTGAAGATAACATGTAAGGATACCTTAGCATTTCGAGGGGACTATCGTCATAAGATCAATTCGTAGGCAACTCGAGGGACAAGTAGGGACTATGATCTTTACGACGATTTTGAATCGCGGGTCATTGCTAAGGTATCCCTACGTTCGAGGGACACGACCATTATTTCTGAGGCAACCAAGTGAGGCAAACCCTAGGAGTGAGCATGTGCAAGTGTGTGGTTTTTTAGTCAATTATCTTTGCACAATTAGGGTTTTCTACTGTATTAATCATTTGTCTTTTACATGCAAGCCTATTGTCCATACATCTAGAATTTTAATAGTTGCAGAAATTAAAAGCGGAAAACTAAATCTACCCTATTACAAGGCCTCGGGAAGGGGGTTACATGACCAAACATGGGAAATTAAAACAGTAAATAATATGCGGTAAATAAAATCCTAGTTAAAACTATTACAACCTCAAAGCAAATACAATAATTAGAATTAAAACAAATAAAATATTACGCGTGAGAATTAAATACGGGAATCAAAGTTTAAATTCAAAGGGAATCACAAAAAATATTTTTGTTATTTTTTGATTGAGAAAATTAACTATTTGCAAATTAACCCTAATTTTCTAATTGATTTTAATTATGAAAATAAGAATTTAAATTTTCCTAATTAAATTAATCTAATTAATTTAATGAAATAAAATATTTTATGAAAAGATCTGATTTTAATGTTTTTTTGTGATTTTTTTATTTAATAAAAAAATGATTTTGTTTTTTTTGTAAAAATAATTAAAAAAATAATTAAAAGAAATTAAAAAGAAAAATTAAACTGGGCCTGGTGAAGTAGAAACTTGGGGGTGTGGAATGGAATTGTTAAGCCCAGAGTTATAGGCCCATTTGCCCATGTAGGGATTCAGTGCAGCTGGCCTTCAGGAGGTACACCATGCGCCTACATGCTTGAGGCGTTAGATCTGGCCAGGACATGATCTGATGGCGTGGATTTGAGGATTCATGATAGCCCTTTTGAAGGTGAGGCTCGCTGGATTTGGGACAAAGAAATTGGAAAATATGAAAACGTGAGATTCTGGGATCGAACCCAGAACCATTTGCTTCACCGCATGCGCCTTTGCCATATGTGTTGGGATGGTTAGTTGTATATATAATAACATAAATAAAATATAAAGGAAATAAAGTGGTCTTTCCCAAACGCGCGCGTGATTCAAATCACCCAATGAGATTCTACCACCTAATTGTCTTCTTCCCCATAACTGTTGTTTTGGCCACACTTTTACCTACAGTCGTTTCCGTCACTAAAGGCTATAGTGACGGATTTTGTTCGTAGCCATAAACCTGTAAAATTCAAAAACGCAACACAGGCAGAATAAATTCAAACCAAAGACATTGATCAATTGCAAATCATCTTCTAAGCATGATAATACCCCTAATTTTGTCCAATTTTGCCTCTATATGGAATTCCCAATTTGGGACCTCAAAACCCTAATAATGGCATCATGTTATTCCTGCACTTAAACTTCAATCAAACCAACCAAAAACATTAAAAATATGATAGCAAGCATGGATATATGATTAAAACATGTTTATGATGGATAAATTATTGAAAACGAATCTTGAAAAAAAGATGCAAACCGTGGCACTGTGAGGCGCAATTTTTGAAGGGTTTAAGGCTTGAGGATGATTGGAATGGCTTCAGAAGATGTCCAGGAACAGATTTCTGGCCTTAGAATTGCTTGAAATAGCCTTCAATCCTTGTTCTTGCGCATTGTTTTTGTTCAGTATATATAGTGTGATGAATTAGGGCAACAAAAATGGTTTGAATCTTTGTAAATCATGGAAATTTGATTTGATTTCTTTGTTTTATGATATCTTTCCAAAACAAGTATAATCATGCCAATTTGCTCCAATTATCCCTTGATCTGATTTGATATGATTTGGCCAACCTGATTAGATTGTGGTTCCTATAAAAATCAGATCAAAAATCAATCTTGTATATTTTTTTGCAATTTATTTGATTTAATCTAACTTTTAATAAATAAAAAAATAAAAATAAAATAAATAAATAAGAAAATAAAGTGTGGATGCTGATTTGGGTCGTGGACCATGTCACAAACAAGATACAATCATGAAATGCTAGGCCCATTTGGCAAAAAATGCACTTTTGAGCATATTTGACTTTTGGCAATTTTGCAAAAATGGTCAGCTTTGACAAGGCATATCTCCTCCAATTTTAACCATAGAGAGGTTTTCTTGGACTTTTTAGAAAGCTTAGGATGTCCCCTAAACAACCCTTTTTGTTTCATCTCAATTGGGTCTTCCATATTCATGTAAAAATCTTTGACCCAAAAGGTGTTTTTGTTGACTTTTCAAAAGGACCTATAATGTAGAAATTCATATCTTTTGATGAGTGCATATTTTGAACTTGTGGGATGAAGATGAGTTTTAGGGAATTGCATCCTATTCAAAATTAGCCTTGGATGGAAAATTTATGATAAAGTATGAAGAAGTTATGCCTGGTCCAAGTTTGGTTGACTTTTCCTAAGAAACCCTAATTTAGCAACTTTTGGGTTTTGATGAATTTGGGGCATTCCTTGAGGAATAATGATAAACCTTTGATCAAATGATGGATATATCTTCAAAATGTTGATGTTGACCAAAAATCTTGAAGTTTGACTGTATGTGGGCCACAATTGACTTTTGACCTAGTACAGTTGATTTTCAGGCATATGGGAAATTGACTGAGCAAACTTCTTGTGCAAGGCATGAAACTTGACATGGATGATCTTGAGAACATATTGGGACCATGGAAGGCATTTGGTACCTTTGTACTTCAACCGTCGTGATGAGGAGTGAAACCCTAGTTTGAAGCTTATTGCTTTAGGAGGAGGATTTGTCTGGTCAATCCTTAGTCATCCTTGAGCAATTGAAGACCTCTAGAGGCATGTCTTGAGTGAAATGAGAGGGAAA